TGTGAGTAACTTAAAATAACAAACGGAAACACATTCAACACTCCCTCTGTGAACTTTAACGCAAAATACTTTCAAACCAAACGACACAATAGTACACCACCGTTACAGAGAGAGAAAGAGAGAGAAAGAAAGAAAGAAGAAATAAAGAAAACAAAGGTATTCCTCCTTCCTTACCAAGCGCGCAAGGTCCTTGGCTTCTTCCGGCCGAGAAGCCCCCGGAAACAGCCAAGCCCTCCCTGCCATCAACGGGGCTTCGGGAGAACGCGATCCCCTGCTTCTACGTCTACCTCTGCTTCTAATTCTGCTTCGTTTTCTTCTTCATCGTTATTATCATTATCATTATTATTACCATTATCAATATTATCACCATAATCATAATTATTACTATTATTGTTATTATCAATATTATTAGTGTTATTATTATTATTATTATTATTATCATTATTATTATCATTATCAATATTATTATTATTATCATTATTATTATTATCATTATTATTGTTATTATCATTATAGTTATTATTATCGTTACAATCATTATCGTTGTTATTTTTTGTTGTTTTTATTATTACCATTGCTAATATTGATGCAGTAATAGTAGTATTGTTATTATCATTATTGATATCATCATCATTATTACTATTGTTATTGTTTTTATTATTGTCATTACTATTATTATTATTATTATTGTCATTATTATTATTATTATTATCATTATTGTCATTATTATTATTATTATTATTATAGTTATTATTAGTATTGCCAGTATTGTCATTATTGATAATTTTTATAGTTTATAATTATTATTATCATTATCATCATTATCACTATCATCATTATTGATATTATTAGTAGTAGTATTGTTATTATTGTTATCATTATCATGATTATCGTATTCTTATTATCGTATCATCATCATATCATCATCATCATCCTCATTATTATCATTATTATTAATACCATTACTATTGTTATTATCGTTATTATCATTTTCATCGTTACCATAATCATTGATGTAATTGCTATTATTGTTATCATTATCATTTTTGTTGTTATTACTATTACTATAATTAATTATTGTTAATATTATTAATAACAATATTATTATTATTATTATCATTAGTTTTGTTGTTGATAAATTCATTGCTATGATTATTTTTTTCAATTGTTATTTTTGTTATTGTTATTATATTTATTATTACAATTATTATTTTTATTGTTGTTCTTGCTATAATTATCATTATTATTATCACCATTATTATTAATTTTATTTAATTTGTTGTAATTATTATCATTATTATTGTTTATTGTTGTTGTTGTTTTTTCCCCATCCCTTCTCTTTATTTTTGTTTTATCTTTTTCGTTCTTTACCCCATCCAATTCATTTTTTTCCATTTGCGTTTCTTCGATTTGGAACCGATAATTTTGGATTTTTATGTTAGTCAGAGGATTTTACCCCACCTTTTACCAAGAATATAACAGAAATTCCCCATTTATTTCCAGAACCCATTTATCTTAGGGTTTCTTCAATCTTTTACGTACCCAGATTTTTTTAGTCGATTTTAACCAATTAAAAAAAAGGCCAAAAAAAAAGGGTAATATCGGAAAAAAAAAAAGGGCAAAAAAAAAGGAAAAAAAGGGAAAAAAAAAATTTTAAGGAAGAGGGAAAAGGGGAAAAGGGGAGGTTTAGGTTTTTGAGAAGGAGAAGGAGCGGGGGGAGGAGACGGAGAAGA